GAGCAAGTGTGGTTGGTAGGGGGGCGCCTACTACTACTACTACCACTACTACTACTACTTCTACTACTACTGCTACTACTGCTACTACTACTGCTACTACTACTACTACTACTACTACTACTACTACTGCTGTTACTCCTGCTGCTGTTGATACTGCTGCGGGTACTGTTGCTACGACTAGGACGACGACGACGACGACGACCACGACCACGACCACGACCACGCCGGGCACGCATACATGCGCTGCCCACCCCGGAACTAAACCCAAAGCAAGCTGAACACAAAATCCATGGACCCTCCAACCCCAAACTCAGAACTGAAACGTCAACTTCTACAAAACCTAGGTAACCCTATCAGACCGTACTGGGGTGTAGGTTAAGGGCGGCCGCATAAGCTTTCATGCGCAGGTATCTCTGCAACGCCCTAAAGGAAAGTCAGAAGTGTCCCAAAGCAGCCTCCTAAGCCGTCAACAGTCTACTTAAACGATGGGACCTAGTAAGTACAGCCGTAAGATGTTATATGTACCTTACCGGGATTATGCTTTGTTGTAAGTATTGTTGCCTCATTCAGAACCCTATTTGCTAAATCCTATGAGCCTTTCAGTAAGCGACAGTGCTCATTGCTGCCGTTCGGCTCTGCCAAGGATGAACATGTTGCTCCATGATGTAGCAGACTCCTGGGCGGCTGGTCCGTATGATTTTCTTTGACATTTCCTGCAAGGATCAGGTTTCTCTTTGTAGAGGGAAGGGGGTTTAGGGTTTTGGGTTTAGGGACAAGCTTAACCGCGAAACACCTCAATTTGGTTGCCGAGAGTATATGAGCCAAAACGATTTAGGGTGAGCAAGTTCTTCTTTATTCGACTGCGAGGATCACGAGGCTTAGCAAGTAAGGTTGCAAGTGCCGCCCTCGGGGGTTGTCGATAGGTTTTTGAGTAAGTTACCTGATTCATTTGGTGGTTTCCGAGAATAGGGGACCCTAATACAGTACCCTAAATAATAGGATCCTTATTATAAGGACCCCCAAATAAGGTACCCTAATTTCTGGAAGTTACTATGTTCCACGATCTGTGCAGCAAGAAGTGCTCAGACTCCTGACTCAGCTACTGAGTGAAACCCAGGCCAGCGGAAGCATCTAAAAAGATCCCCTAATTTCGGACCCTCTACGAAAGGGTACTTTCAATGGAAGCCCCTTACGGGATCTATTTTCAGATCCTTCCGGTGGTCTGGGAAGGGGGCCGCAGGCCCTCAACCCTTGGCCCAGCGGCTTTGCAAGTCACCCCGCAGCTGCAGTAAACAAAGTGGCCCGGAGCTTCTGCCGCCTGGAAGATGTGGAGTTTTGGGCTTCAAGGGTTTAGGGTTTAAGGGTTTTGGCGTTTAGGGGTTTAGGGTTTAGGGCCTAGGGCTCAAGGTTTAGGCTTAAGGGCTTAGGAACCCTAAACCCTAAGACTCATAATCATGATGGCTGAAGACGGTACGTCGGCTCTGCTGGCTAGACAATGCACGTTGGTCTTATTTGATACAGGAGCCGTAGTTAGTAGAAGAATGCTCCGTCTGCTCGACAGAAAATGGAATAAGGAACCTTAAGGACTAATTTTAAATAGGAACCTTAAGGAATAATTTTAATAGGAACCTTAAGGAATAATATTAATAGTAACCTTAAGGATTCGAATCATATATTATTGTTCAGGCTCCTACATTGCCACAAAAGTCTGGCGGTTATGTGCCAGTGGACCTGCAGCCGAACTGACAAATTCGATCAGAGCAGCTACCCAGAGACTCCAATATCCCTAGTTAAGGAATATACCTTAAAGTATAGTAGGATCCCTAACATGATTTGAAGTAGATTCCTTAATTAAGGGGTATTGGAGTCTCTGGGTAAGCCGCTGTGCCTCGACCATGGCCAATGCAGTCTCAGATGACAATGAAGAGGGGAATGAAGAAGATGCTGATGGGAACGAAACATCAGTACTACCACTGTAAGAGTGCTTGTTTTTCGCTGCGGATGCGTTGAGCGCCTTCTTCTCCCCGGAGTATCCGCAGCAATAAAGAATAACAAAAACAACACAGGTCCCGTACCACCACTAGCACCCATCATGGCCAGCACCATCTTCAGTTTATTGTCGGCGTGCGCATTCTGTGGTAGCGACAACAATGACACCAAACAAGAGGCTGATGAAGACGATGGAGATGATGCTGATGTCAGTGATGGTTCTCAGGCTAACTTTGCTCGGCCAGCCTGCCCGAGGTAGAGGACCAAAGACAAAGAGGAAAACCGAAATACAGGAACTCGCCTGAGGTAGCAGCAGCGGCACAGCAGCCGGGGCGGTAGCAGCAGCAACAATAACAAAGCCCACAGTAGCAACAAACAAGCAAGCAACTAAGGAAGTACTAGACACGAGTAAAGACCAACAACTAACAGCAATGCACACGAACACACACACACACACACACCTACCTACCTACCTACCTACCTACCTACCTACCTGCCTACCTGCCTGCCGACCTGCCTGCCTGCCTGCCTGCCTGCCTGCCTGCCTGCCTGCCTGCCTGCCTGCCTGCCTGCCTACCTACCTACCTACCTACCTACCTACCTACACACCTACACACCTACACACCTGCACCCGCCCGTGCACGCGCACGCACACGCGCACGCACACGCACACGCACACCGCGACAAGGACCGACAGCAACGTCAACATCGACACCTCAACCAAAAAAGGGAGAAAACGGGTAAACCCTAAACCCTAAACCCTAAACCCTAAACCCTAAACCCTAAATGAGAAAAGGGCTCTGGCCTCGCCGTGCTCCGCCGCAGCCGGCTGCTCTGTGGACGCGGCGACGGGGGGGTCCTTTACTCGGAGGATCATAACTATACTGGTTTAGGGTTTAGGGTTTAGGGTTTAGGGTTTAGGGTACGTGAATTTGGCATAAACAGGTAGGGTTCCTGTACAGGCTTCCAAAAAAAGTTGCTTTAACGATTCCTTGATAAAAAAGGTTCCCATAATAGTTCCTGAAAAAGGTTCCTTTAGATCTTAGGGTTTAGAGTTCGGGGTTTTGGTAGGATTTGTAGAGGCTGCCCAGGAAGTGGACTTAGATTTTCAAGTTCAACAATGATCAAACAGATATGAATACAAAACCCTGTTGTATCGCATATAAAGGCTCAATAGCTTATGGCTTCGGGGGTTCACGCCTCGCGTAGAAGTCAAGCTTGACTTGGTTTGCATGCTTCGCCGCAGTCCAAGACACTGCCACACCACAACTAGACCGTTAAAACGTCGCATTCCAAGACCCACGCGTCACTCGCCAATGCTTGCGAACACTTGGCGGACGCTTGCAAACTGTGCGCCGCGATGTCGAATCAAACCCTATCCCCCAACCCACAACCCTAAACCCCAACCCTAAACCCTAAACCAAGACCTGCTTGAGGCGGTGTCTCCATTCCACCAACCATCTCCACCTGCCGTGGAGCCTTGGGCGGTGGCCCCTTCACGGGCAGCTCCTCCTTCTTCTCTGGAGCTGCCTTCATCTTCGGCCTCGCCTGTGCCAAGGCCTTGGCATACTGATCCGCCTCCTGCAAAGAAGAACCTCAGGGATGATTCTCCCCTGACAGGCCCTGGCAGTCCCATCATGGTAACCTGCGGTTTAAGGTTTAGGGTTTAGGGTTTTGGGTATCTTTTTTTAGGGTTACTTAGTATGCTTTCTTTTTATAAGTCCTTAGAAAGGTAGGTTCTTTGGGGTCTAGGAAGGTCATATACCACAAAAATCGGTTTAGGGCTTTAGGATTTAACTCAGTCTCGTCTTAGGATTTAGGGTTTGGGATTTAGGGTTCTGGAATCAGGGTTTGGGATTTAGGGTTCTGGAATCAGGGTTTAGGATTTAGGGTTTAAGGGTTTAGGGTTTAGGCTTGAACTGCTCAGGCCCCTAGATTAAGTTAAGCCCCGCTACAAAACACTAAAATACAACATCATGGAACCCTGTTCTACTTGTTAGGACCCTAAACCCTAAACCCTAAACCCTGTTCTACTTCTTAGGCTCCCCAATCACCGTAACTACCCTAGATACCCTACCCAGACCTCGGGGAGGATCCAGAAACTAGATCCCTGGAGGGGACCTTTACAAAGTACCCTATACTAGTACAGGGTAATTAGGGGATCTTATTTTTTAGGATTTTTGCCGGGGTCTGGGTAAACCTAAACCCTTAGCCCTGAACCCTAAATACCCTAAATACCCTAACTACCCCAAAGACCCTTAATACCCTGTATACCCTCACCACCCTAAATACCCTAAATGTTTTAAACCTAACTAAGGTCCCTAAACCCCAAATACCCTAAATTTCCTTGAAATACCCTAAACCTAAGGTCTTTAAATCCTAAACCCCAAACCCTAAATCCCTCAAAATAGTGTAACCTAAGGCCCCTAAACCTTAAATACCCTAAACTACACCAAACCTAAGGTTCCTGAACCCTAAATACCCTAAAGACCGTAAATACCCTAAACCTAAGGCCCCTAAACCCTAAACCCTAAAGACCCTAAACCCTAAGCCCTAAACCCTAAGATACCCTAAGATACCCTAAACCCTAAAAACCCTAAGATACCCCAAACCCTAAGACACCCTAAACCCTAGTCCCATGAAGCTTTGAGTACCCTAAACCCTAAACCCTAAGATACCCTAAACCC